AGTTATTTCTTCAAATACCAAAAAAGGTCCTGAACAGTGTGTTGCAAATGTTTATCTGACACTATGTTACTGAAAAGATTTCTCTGATGACATCTCAAGTTTAATTCAAGATTCCTTTTTTTAATAGCTGTAGTTTATGCTATTGTTAGCTGTCCAAAAAACATACGTGATCTATTTGTTTGGATATGGGAGGAGGTACCAATATCTCCTGAGCTCTGATCCTGACCTTGACACACTCTTGTTGCCCTGTGAGGGGTCACTGAACACCTCTGCCTCATTTCTACTTTTTTAGGTTATTAAGGCTTATTTGTAAAGTATTCTGAAGAGTAAAAGCTCTATGCAGGCATTAAGGGTTTGAATTCTGGAAAGGTCCAACATGTAAAAGGCCTTCCTTTTTTAATATATTGATTGGGAATAATCTTGTAGTTCTTTGTTTTGAAACAAAAATGCTTTATGGGTTCTTTATGGTTGATGTTTTGAATAAGTGCTAGTATTTCATTGTTTGTGAATGACACTGTAACTATTAGGGCTATTTGTCAAGGTCTGAGCACCATAAATGAATTTTCCTCTAAGTAAGGAAACAATTTCAAATTTCCAAGAGATTATGATAAAGATTGAGTGGAGGGAGAAGATTGTATTAAATAATAGAAAACACCTTTCTCATTTTAGTCTATTTAACTATTTTGTAAGTATCGTGGATAGCTCTTTACCTACATCAAAAAGGTTAGGCAGAGGGTTTTTTAGATATGTATATGATTATGCTTGCAAAAAAAAGTGCACACTGCTGTCATTTTGCATGTATGCACGGTAATGGTTTACAAGGTGTCACCGCTATAACTCGCCCCGGTATACATCTGTTCTTCACTAAAGTCGTTAAGAGGTTGTACAAACTGATGTATTAAGTCCTCCCATTCCCTACTCTTAAGTCATACACCAAAAACAAAACAAAATAATTTGCACAAATGGCAGTTATCTGCAGGAAAAAAATTCCCTGCTTTCAGTTGTTTCACTGTAAATCTAAGTTTTTTGGGACATATCTTGGACATATACCGAGGATGGCCTGTACTCAAATGACCAGTTAGATGGTATAAACTATTGTCATTCTGCATTCATGCATGCATGGTAATTGTGTACTCCAGAGTGATAAAACCATCAAATGGTCTGGTAGCACTTTATAGACTAACAAAACATGTAGATGATATCACGAGCTTTCGTGGGTACAGCCCACTTCTTCAGATGACCGGAGTGATAGTATGCGATGGTTAGTGGCTATGGTAGCATGCAAAAATTATGAAAGTGTGCATTGCTAAATATCTGGGCCTTAATGTGCAATCAAACCTTTTGCTTCAGGCTGTACAAATTGTACTAACAAGCCCTTTAGTTTTTTAAAAATGACTTAATATTGTAGTTTAATCATAGGCCACAGCATGCAAGCTAATTACAGTATCTATTTTAGTCTCTTGTGTAAAAAAATTGCCATAACTCTAAGGCCTGGATTTATTTTTTTACCTTGAATCTCTATTTTAATCCTATCCAGCCTGATCTAAGAAAGCAGTAGTTAATTAACAGAATGGTAATTGGCTCCATTTGATTCAATCAGTTAATCAAATACATTCAGTAACTGCCAATTTATTTAATTATAACCCTTGTCATAAACATCCAAACTGACTGTGCTGATATTACTCAGTCTTAACTCTAATTAGTTGGTTTCCTTCAGTGCAGTTAATTTTGCAGACCTTGCTGTTTTTCTAAGAATTCCCATGTAACTAGAGAGAAGATTGTAATTCAGAATTAGGACATAAATTATAGGCATAATTTTCATTTTATTATACTATGTGGGTACTCCAGTGATTAGCTTACAAAGAGTACATAAGCCCTAGCATTACTACAATTAATGTTGAGTTTTCTTGGTGTTAATTGGTAGTGAATTGTGGTTTTGGAGCAAAAGGTTCTAAAACCTAGTCTCACAGCTGACCATGAAGTTCTATATATGATGACTATAATCTCTGTGGCCAAGGAATCAATGCTCT